CTCATTTGGAGGATGTTTCAGTGGTTATTCAATGGTTATTCGACTTTCGATGCTCGATCTTAGTGGCAAGCTGAAGAAAACAACTCGAAGAGGCATTTCACTCTTGGATCGAGTTATGCTTACTTGACCAGAGTGGGGGGGACTAGATGATATATGATATTATACTGGACCTGGTTTAATGGATAAAGCGGATACATTTTGGAAGATAAGCCCACTAAGACGTCCAAGCCCAACATTATGGGCCAAGCTCATAATGAGCCTACAAAGGTACACTCCCCCTATAAAAAGGGGGCCAAGGTACCTCATTCACACATTATTCTCTCCTCATTACATTACACTCTTTCTCTCTCTTGATCTGAGCACTGACTTAGGCATCGGAGGCCCGACACCGGGGTCACCCGACGTTGGGTTCTGCAGGTACGGAGGCCGGTTCGAGTTGAAGGAGCCCGGGTGAATCTTATTTACTTCAAGATCGCATACACAACATCGCATACATGAGGCTTCCTACTGCCGAAGCATAAGAAACTTCCTTCATGTTCTCTATTTCTTGAGGTGTCTTTGTAACACCCCGCTATTTTATGAAAATGAGAGTGCGTTTTCTTGCAAAGTTTTTTAAAATAAAAACATTTAAGCTGCCAAATACTGGTTCGGAGTGCTACCATAAAACATGAATTTACTTAAAAACCCGTTATTTAGTTTTAAAGAAAAACAAAACGGTTTGTCATAACATAGTAACCGATAGAAAGTCGGATAAAAAACTGAGTTTGGCAAATAGTCGTAATCAGCGAAAAAGCATAGCGTCGCAAAAACATTTCTAAACATATAACCAAAATCCTGAACCGACCGCCAGCTCACTCCTCGGCTCCGACCCTGGGACCTGAAAAACATGAATAATGTGGGGCGTGAGCACTAAATCCACTGTGCTCCGCAAGAACTCATACTAAAGTAAACAGTGAAAATAATAACAATATCATGATCCTGGCATGTACATAACTGAACAGAAACCGGTACTGAATAAGCATGATCAGATATTGAAACAATCATAACCTGATAATCATCACATGACTGATATCTGAACATCTGCCAGCATAAAAATGTCGGACACCATGTGCACACTCTAGTGGGCAGACTAAGGCCACTAGAACCCAGAATGGACCGGCGACCATTCCGAGCGGATATTGACTGATAATACATACCTCAAACATGGTAGAGTAATTATAATCAATGTAATACCTAGTCTGAGTCCCCACCTGATCCGTCGAAATGAAAAGGCAGTACTGATAATTGTAGCCTGATCAAGCTGAAACATAATATAAACAATTACTAAATACTATGCTCATACAGATAAAATTAGTTGTTTAATATGTTAAGATGCTCTACTGGAACTTGACATGATATTTGGAATTAATCGGTATAACTGGAACTAGTTTAATATGAAACTGGTCGGACATGAATTTACTGAACTGGACTGGACCCAGAATTTAACTGAAAATTGGACATAAACATGAACCGGCACAT